TTATAGTAATTATATTCATATTTATGATAGATGTGTAAAATATTATTATATGAATAATATTACATGTAGTCTATTTAAAAAATATTAATATATTTAAATTGTTACACAATTATTATATACAGTTTAATATAAATATATAAATATAACTAATATAATTTTACTATACTACAATATAATCTAGTAATTAAATTAATATTTGTAAACTATTTATAAAATAGAATTGTTACATACACAGAGATACTTGTGACAGCATCACAAGTGATACCCCCCCATTTGGATATATTTATTTTTTAAAGCATAGCAACACATGGTGTACATTTCCCTTTCAGTTTAAATTATTCAGAATTATTGCCGCTATTCAGTTATGATTGACAGGTCTTTTCATGATTCCCCACTCTAAATCTGCAGATTTCAGTGTTTGTGTAATATTTCCAGAGATTGCGTTTATTTATTTATCCTGCAGGCTGGCATGTTGAGATACAGCATGGGAGGATTATACGTGTCCTACTTTGGATAGAGTAATTTAGTGTCCACAGAAGCAGGCACGCACACTGACAGCAGGGCAGCTGAATGACTGAGGCCAGGGGAGTTTAATAGGTCATCGGCGAGAGGAGATATGTTGTGACAAGGACGCAAGTTGTAAAAGGTCAGAGGAGAGGGAGCGCACCCCACCCGCTGCTCCCCACCACTCAACAAGCTCCCAAAACTGCCAAATCAACAGATACAGCTTTATTAACCCTTCACCTCATCATCATTTAATACAGAGTCTTTGTTCAAAACTTATGTTTTCAGCATAAATTCTGAGGTTTTTTAATTGGACGGGTTGGATGGATAATTGTTCAGACTCAGAAGGCTGCATATGAGAAAATGGGATACTTGTGTATTAGTACACATCCTAATTTGAGCTTGAAAATGGATCTTAATTTCACACCCGGTTGCAAACCAAACATGTCAGCTGGTTGAGTGACTTCAGAAAGAATGACCTAAATTTCGAAAGCACAAACAGCGTTTTAAAGCAAGCACTAAGAATCAGAAAATTGCCTATGGTAAACAAGGAAATACTTAATTAAATAACACTATTTTTATTATTATTGTTATTTCCATTCCTCTTATTATGTCAGGGATGACTTGAAAACTGTACAGGGAGCAAATGAGAGCAGTGGAGTATCTGTTTAGACACATTAACACAGTAGAAGCTGAAGATCTTCCTGGTGCTTGCACACACTCTCTTGTGTTTCCACACAGTTGTTTTGCTTTATTTTGATTCTTGCTCTTTCATGCGATAAGCATAGCTCTGCATTTAGTAGTCAGTACAAGGCAAAGTACATGTTTCATAGGTCCTAATGCACCCTAAAAGAGGATGTCTGTTGCTCTCCAAATGCACTCAGAGGTGAACACTGTCAATCTCCACATCCCCCTTCCCGTCAGCCACACGCACAACCTGATACCGAATTGACAAATCGAGCCTTGCGTCTGTGACAGAATAAACTCGGGAAAGGGGGAGCGGCAAGTCCACTCCGTTCTGCCCAATCTAATTGGTTTCGACATCAAAGATGTCAGTCAACGCTAGACTCCCCTTTTAGACATTTTCTCTCACTCTCTCTCTTTCTCATTATGCCAATGGTCCCATTAAAAGAGCTGTCAGTTCCCTGCACTGAGGGATTTGGTGGAAGTCATAATTAGTGATTTCATTTGACAGAGCAGTTCTGTCTCCATTTAGTTTTTAACACCCCAGGCCACATTTTTCACATAGAGTTGTCTCAACCACGTTGATCAGCCTAGGTGCACCTGGTCTGAGATCCAAGCTGTCACACTTTCGCTATTGTCTTTTGTACACTGTGTTCATAGATGGCCTCAGGGGTGGAGTGCATTTTGCTGAGGTTTTACCAACTAATTGACACTTCCATTCAAACTTAGTTAATAAAGATGCTGACGAAAGAGCGTGCTAAATATGCAATGCGAAATTCTAGATTATTACCACGTGAAATTTCAGGGTTGTGTGCCATTTACAGTTGAATTGAGGATGTCTTTTAAATTTTGTTCCAGAATTTGAATTTGAGGAAGCAAACGTGAAAATTTGAATTTGGAAGTAGAATTAAATTAGTTAGATATATAACTGCATATTTTTATTTTATCAACAAAAGCAAAGTTTATCAAGACTTGTCAAAGATGTTAGCTTGACAAAGCTTTGTCTAACAAATAGTCTAGAAAGATTTTAAAATTAATTTAGCCTATATATTTCAACATATCTAATCATTTATCTATTGTACCAGAATGCATTACCTTGAATTTCTTCACCAGTTCAATAAATTTCTCTTCCTGTCATTCCATTTCAAATTCCAATTTGACTTCCTGTGGGGTGTGGCCAATATAATTCAAATTCAAACTAATGAATTGAAAGGAAGTCAGTTTTTCAATTTTGCATTTTACTTTACCATGCCTGAAATGCATAATTCAGTCAGAAAAAAACATTAGAATAGGCAATGACACAGGCAATAACAATACATGTACAATGCTTAAATATATAGCCAGTTGTTAAATTCCACATGTAATATACCTCAAGAGAGTCTCACAGTTAGATCTAAAACTCTCATTGTGTTATAAGCAACCGGCAATCACGCCTGTAATCCTTTTACATCCACGGTCACTTTCTGAGAGTCATGTGCTGTGAATAAAAGTGTCGTCTCTTTCCTGTGGGATCATGTGATTCTGCCTATTTTCTGTATTTCTCAATGTATAGATGAATTTGAAGAATGTCATTTAAATTTTTCTTTTTTGTTCTAGGGTGAAAGTTAGTAACAGATGTCGCTATACTGTGATATATAGCCTTTCTAACTTTACAGGGCTACGTCCCTAAAGTTAAAAGGATTAGGTCTGGCCTGTTTGACATTTGGAGCTCCTCTAACGAGTGATTCGGTCTCACAACACTCACTGTACCATACAAACCCCAGTTGATTGGCAGTTTGTGTGTCTATGCGCAGCTTGTCTATCCTAGAAGCATCACCACCTGCTGTTGCATGACTGCTTAAGCTCCTGCCCCATACAATTTGACATTCAGTGTGACTACGGAAAACATCAATAAATAAATAACCCAGACAAATAAATCCATAGAAATACTCATTTGAAGGCTCAATGAAACGCTTTGTGAATGTAATATGCTGTGGATGCATTTCAAATGTAAATTATGGTATTCTAACACATTTGGTTTCCCATCTTTTCCGTCTTCATTTAGACGCTGGTTCTACAGGCTCACAGCTGGACTTTTGTTTGCCACTCCACTCACCCTCTTTGCCTCTCCGTTTTTTTATGTTGCCGTTCAGACGATATTCATGTGGCAGGTTGTGAGAAATCAACGTGTTAGGCCTCAAGTTCATGTGGCAGAGCTCAATGGCATAAGCCATCCAAACACTATTACATCAATTGGCTAAGTCAAGTTTCCTTCTCGTGTTGGCACTGTCTGTGTGATTGGACATTAGACACTATCTGTTTCCTGATTCATAATGTATTATATCCTATGAGAGGAGACATCCATTCTTCAGAACCTGATGTTTAATTCAGATCGTTGGCTTGAATCACAGTACCTTGTCATATGTGAATCCTATAAGCAGTTAGAGAAGAGACATGATTACAGTGTGGTGCTGGAAGACATTTATGTACTTTATGTAGCTATAGCAGCTAGTGTTGCTGAGCAATCATATGAATTTATTCTACGAAAACAATAGTATACATTTAAAATCTTTAATTCACATTTACAGGCTAATAAGACTAAAAAGTATTAGACTAAATACACTGCAAAAATAAAAAAAAATAAAAAATATTACTGCTATTTATACTTTAAGGAATTAAAAATTTTGCCAGATCAATAAAAAATAATACACTTGCACACAAATCACACTAATACAAATAATAAAATAAAGAAAACAAATGCACTTAATATATTGTGCAGTTTTGCATATCTTGTTTCAAGGAGTTTTGGATATTTCTATTGGAAACCAGTCCAATAGAAATAATATTTGATATTTTAACTGGAAAATTTCACAGAAAATACTTGGAAAATGGGATTTATTTTAATAGTGTAAACTTTAAAAATAATAATAAAAACCTAATCTTCCCTAAAAAAAAATCATGATTATAATAATAGCAATAATATTAATCATAATGACTTTATTATTTTATTTATTTATTTTTACTGGAAAGCATGACAAAAACATTAATTAAATATTATTTTTGCAGTGAGGCAGGGGCACCTTGTATTATGCGTATTTGCTTCACTTTTTTTTTTTTTTTTTATTTAATTAATTAAAAAAAAAAACACATTTATGTTTGCATTTATAGAAGAGGATGGATGTTAAGATGTTTTAGAGGGAAACTGATATAGCTTGGCAATGCCTGACACCATGTTTTTCCATTTCAGGTGTCTGGCTACTGTACCCAGGAATAGGTGGAAACCACTGTCCCAAGTACTGTACTGACATGCGACAATACAAATCCTTACAGCATGTCTGTTTGCACCAGTACTTTGGGGTCAACAGGCTTTCACATACAAAGGCCATAATATTTACAAATACAGTGTGGATTACCACATGATGGCTGCAAACATGAACTCCTTAACTTAAACCAATGCACTCAATTAAGCATTTGTCATAAATTAGTGTCCTTGAAAGATTTATGGATTATCTTGGAACAGGTTTATATGTAAGCTGATCGCATGGAGTTAGCAGGCCATCACTCATTACGGTAATCCGTGATCATTTGTTTGAGTCAGACAGAAACAAACAGGTTCAACCAATCCAAACACTGAATTACAGGCTAAATATAGGTCATAGGTCATCAGCATCTAATTGGATCCAGCACAGTGAACTACAGCAAACCATAGGCAACTTTCCAGTAAGTAATATCTGACCATTAAGCTAATTTATTTTCCCACAAAAGCTTGAGCCACAAGGACAAATCCTATCACTGCTGGGCATTTGCTTCTTTGAGATACCATGGCCACTTTAGCCCCGTCCCTTCATCTGGCACACCTCAGTCACGCAATTTCATTTGACGTCTGGAAGGGATCCCAAGGGCGGTTCACACGTACAAATAGTTTTTCCACTTATAGGCATACATATCAGAGCGCTCACCTCTCATCCCCGGCACTTTCGGATATCCACTCGTAAATTGTTGTGATGTAAAGATTTTCACATGTGAATTGTTTTCAATGTATACATGCCCATGTGCGAATTACTGTTCCCATTTGAATTTGCAGATATTGATTGTTCTTCCTCCGTGAACTATGAGTGTGAACAGGAGACCAGGCCTACATGGATAGCGAGCTGTAAAAATCACGTATCAGGCGTTAAGTATAAAAGAGAGGTCCAGACATTTAGACAAGAGGTTGAATGGTTAAATGTGAAGGTTTGAACACCAGTGCACTGTATTTGCATATGAAACATATTAAACACTATTTAATTTTGTATTCATAATCAAAGATTTTAAATCTATCAGAATTACACATTTTCAGTGTCCAAAAGAGCCACGATCCGGTGCCAAATCAAAACATTTCACTCTGAAAGATACCAAAATGCAAGGTTAGATACACAGCGCCCCCTAGCAGACAGTGTGTAATTAAATGTGACCACAGAACGATATACTGAGGTTATTTTCCTAATATCTGCACGCACAGCAGCTTTACCTTATGTCTATCACAAGCAATTTTGAATAGGCCTATAACAAATGTGAGAATTTTTACTTCATTTAAATTTAACTGATTCAATAAAAAAATCTAAATAAAGTAAATGTATAAAAAAGTATTTCTGCGTTTTTTACTACAGGAAAATGTCACAAATGTCAAGAAAGTCAACACTGTGCAGAATAGTAAGAGCACTTTTACTCAGTTTAAATATAGCTAATTGAATCAAGTAAAAACGATCAATTAATTATAAATGTTATAAAAATAATACATTAAATTATAATAAAAGTAATGATGTAAAAAGTATTTCAAAAAGTGCTTACTCTATGCAACACCTACATTTGATTTCTAAAAAAATACATCACAGAATTTCACAAATCTTAAAAAATAAGCACAAAATAATAATAATTTAATAAAAAAATGGAGTCTTGGGTTATCACTAAATTCATGCTTTGACTCATCATGCCTGTAGATGGCAGTGCTCCATAAAGTTTCATGTGAAAGCTCCTTACTGAGAGCTCAGTCTTAACTTCAGTCTGTTTCTGCAGAAGAAACCTAATTATACATATTCCTTTTGAAACCACAGCTCTTGACACATTAATGTATCATCAAAATATTTTTCGCTCATTAATATGACTTGTTTGTGCTACTGCTTACTAATATCTTGTGTTGTTAACATGCCTATTAGAAAAGGCATTCGGATTAAATCTGATTTTACATAATGCAAAACTCACTTATCAATTAGGCTGTGACTGCATAGGTGTTTTTCGACAGATAAACAACTTAAACACACCGCTGTGGCACGCGAGGCTAAAAATCCAGAACAAACTCTCATATGAGATGAATTTGGCGAAATTATTCCGGCCCTCAAAGCAAGTCAGCATTAACTGAGGTTTTGATCTTTTCTTACCCCTTATTATGTCACCGAAATGGCGACCCGGTGCCTTGAAAACAATGCAAATCGGAGGTCAAAAAAAAATCACCCCAAAACTCAAAGAAAGATCAATTTGAAAATGAGGAGTGTGAGAAAGGCGGGAACTGTCAGGGGGAAAAAAAAGACGTGAATCGCTAATTTAAGCTTGATCGGGATGGGAAAAGGTTTGTGAACAGCTTGAGTCTGATCAGTTAGAAAATATAAACGCTGAAAATAATCTTAAAGTGTGACCCGAGTTAAAGCTCTAGGAGGAGATAGTGTTAAGTTTTAGTCCAATAATAATAATAATAATAATACAGAGAAAGCTAAACAGATTTTAGTGTATGTCAAAGGAACCATTACCATATCGCCATCACAAAACATCAACTGTAAGGTAACAAAGTCAGCAAAGATATCGCACACATATACACACCATCCATACGGGTTAGTTTCTGTGTTGTTGATCCTATCCTGTGTTGTTTGGCAGTGGCACATTTTACCGCACTGTTGTCTGAGCGCTCCGAAGCTAAGTGCGATTTGATGGACATTTGTTTGTCCACATTAGAAAACAACACTGCTTGTTTTCCATGATCTCCCACATCATTTTTTGAACGGCTGCCTGTAGGCTACGTAGTTTATCCAAGACTAAGATTCAACTTCCGGTAAAGATGCTTTAAAATGTACAGGGAAAAAAATGGATCCGAGGCACTGCGTATTTACAGCAGCATTTTTGTGTGTATGATTGTGTATGTGTGCTGTGGTGGAACAGAATCCCACTGTGCTAAATGACCTGTGACTGAAGTCTTCCATGTCAAACCTAGGATTCACACTGAGCCCCACGTCACCCGCTCAAACTGACGCCACAGGCCTATGTGCACACAACCTACATCAGAAAAATTGTGTTTCGATTATGAAGCAAGCAGGCATCTTCCTCAATGCATGCAATTCGATTTCCGCCCTGGATGTTCGAGGAAAAAGTCCTGCAACGTGTTGATCGAAATGATTACTATTTTGTGTTTTACCTCCGGTGTTTTGTTTTATTGGTACAGAAAGTGAAGGGGGCAACAAACCTTTGAATGAGAAACCAGAGACACGTGACTGGTTAATTCTCACTGACACGATAAACCTGGAAAAATACACAACATCAGAAAAATCTTCCTCCACTCATTCACATCAAACCGAATAATGTTGCCAAGTTGTGCTCTATTAAGATTCGCTCCACTTCTACTAAACAGCAACATGTTTTTTTTTTCACTCAATACACCTTTTCCCTCTCTCACCATCTGTTAAATCATGGGGGAAAGGGGGGAAAAGTTGGGAATTAACAAGTTTCCACATGTTGCAGGTGAAAGTGGCACAATTTTTAATTATACCTGGACTCCACTAATTCCAAATACTTAATATAACAAATGGCAAATCAGCTCCTGGCTGCTCCCTGGATAATTAGGACTCGCTGTAGAGTTTCTTTAGCGTCTGCTACATTAATTAACGCTGCAATGAACCCAGCCACAATATGTTCTGTATTTGTTCAAATTGATTCCCCTGGTAGCGTCTGTGAAAGGTGGGAAAGCACAGGACGATGAGGCACAACCCACTCGGCCTGCCACTGCTCCCATTGAGCTCTGTGGCTTACATATATGTTTGAGCTGGATAGTATAGAGCTAGCTGCGCTTTCCCGACCAGATTAAGTGGCAGAGCTAATGTCCTGGTAAAAGAGATACCAAGTGATTTGGATTAGGGTCTGTTGCTTTTGCTTTCCAGGACAAAGATACACATAAAGTGTAACCTAAGAGGTTTATGTTAGTGATATAACGTGTCTTTTCAATATGTGTCCATCCAGTGAGATTCCATAATGAATTTCATGCAGAGCGGCGTATTAAGTCAGGCCTTATGGAAGCAAATTAAATTTTGTCCCTTGCAGTAAAAACCACAATGCATGCTAATCTTAATATACAAATATAATGTGCTTCCCTTTGGAGATTGCTGTCAGCAGGTGGGCAAAAATATCATCGGATTTATTCTTGGTATCAAACCTAAAGATTACAAGTGGTAGATGGAGATGAACAAAGAAATTGATATATTTGTCCTCTTGTTTTTACAGAAAGTCATGCATCTGAGCACATCTGCACAAATATTTTACTCTTCGATTTTCAACGGAGGAAAATGAAACGAATTGTTGAATATTTACCCATCCCCCTTTCTTTTCCCTCTCTTTTTCTCACTCTCTTTCTTAATCAAGCAATTTCATCATCCCTCCTCCACTCCCTCTCTCTTTCTCTCTCTCTCTCGCCACACACGCACACCTAGAATAATTATCCCGATCTGTGGTAGAGAGTGTCCTTCTGTCTACCAGCAATGTCTGCATTAATGGCCTCTCTTTCCCTCCTCTGGAGTCTACCTCTTTTGGATTAATTTCAGCTCGCCATTCTTTCTCATTTTCTCTAAGAGGATTTCGCAGAGAAGCCTGTTGTACGCCCACACACAAAATCGCCTGTCTCCGCCCTTATGTGTTACAATGAGAGATAATGGTTAAGAGACAGGATTTTGAAAATGAATGGCTTTACATTCCATAAACACATTAAAATGAGTTTTCTTTGTGTGTGTGTATGTGCGTGTGTGTGTGCGCGCGTCTGTATGGGGAAATGTGACGAAAAGGGTATGTGAAGCAGAAAATAGAGAGGGTAAGAGGGAGGGAAAGAGAGAAGGACTACTTTGTGTCTGAGTGTGTTATTAAGCTTTGTGTTTTCCAAAGCAAACTCAGACACTTCCAACATTTTGTCAATGTGGTTTTTCTTAGCCCACAATATAATGAAATGCAACTGACAGGCCTTCTTCCTTACATATTTGTCATATCTCTAATTTCCATTAATATCATATTTTCCTCTTTTTTTAAATATAGTAATTTATCTTTATTTTATGGCATGGCATAGAATGTTTGCTTCAGATTATTATTTTTTTTATTGTTATTATTATTAAATCAAAAATATAAGGTTTTCTTTCCGCTATTTATCTATTTGAAGATATTTCAGTGACTCTTCTACAAAGATTTGTTGCAAAACTCATATCAATATTCATCTGCTTACATTTTATTTGTTGCATTTCTAAACATCATTACATATAGCTGCATAGTGGGAAACAACAAGAAAATAATAAGCTAAACTCTATAGGACTAAGTTATTGTAATATTATTACTAATGAGAGATAATTGACTGTGACGGCCATAATGAGTCAGTAATAGGGTTTGCTTTAATTTGCCCATATCAAACCTTAGAAACATTTGTAGTAATAGAGCTAATGTCCAGATGGAGAGCGGCCATTGAATGTTTCTGAATGCAGTGAAATTTTAGATGTCTGTGTCAGGTGGAAAGAATGAGGATTCAGTAGCGAATGTGCAAACAACGTTTATTGGGAATTCCCAACCAGAAAGATGACGAGAGTCAGACAGGTGAGAGACAGAGATAACTCCGGGTAGCGCAGGGACACAACGGGCAGCCAATGATCGAGGATCCATGCAACGAAGCCCACGGCAGAAGTGAGAAGGAACTCCAGGAACTGGTCAGAAGCAGAGAGACACGAACTGAACACGGTAACGACATAGGACGATCTGACATCACAGGACAGAAAACACAGACATAAAATAGGATCGCTGATCAGCCACAGCTGGCGCTAACCAGCTGATGGCACTGATCAGCGGCAACACAAACCACACCCACACCCACACTCACACGGAGAGAGCTAGAATGAGTCAGTGAGCCCATAAACCGTGACAG